TCCTCCTTTTCGAACTTGAAGGTCCTGAATATATCATCCGCGCGGTCACCCATCAAGTACATGAACAAATCGATCTTGTCCGCCTCCTCTTTCTTCTTCAATCCACTGACCACGAGGTATCGTTCGAATCTCTTCCTCCATTTGGGGCATTCGTTGGGAGTCGAGAAGTCGAAAGTTTCTGGAGGTTGAATCTGAGCCATGTTGAATTATCTTCCAAGGTACGCAAAAATCGATATTTTGCAATATACGGGTTCGTATTTTATCCAGTTATCGCTGCCACAATGTTTTAATGTCCATCCATACAAAGTTCAAAACAACAACTGCGTCCCGTACTCGCGCAGGCCCGGTCACGCTCCGCCGCGGCACGTGGGAAAACATCCAATGTTTCCAGCACAAGTTGTCCACTGTGAAAATCGAAAACAAAGAGACTCTTCTTCAGCTGCTGAAAAATATCCGTCCCAGTTTGGAGAAAAAACCTTTTGAACCAAAGCCCTACCAGACAACTGGTAACACAGTGGTCAAGAAGCCAGCCTATTTAGCCCAACTTGATCAAATTAAGGAGGCATCACAGACAATGAACAATCAAAATAATTCTGTGCCTTCTCTTCAAAAAAACTAAATTTAGAGGGTTGTTCGATCCCGGTGACAAAATCGATCCTATTTTTGTCTTGCAAAAGTCCCGATTCTATGTTGACCGTTATTATAAATGGTGTAAAACTTGTTGCTTTCTTGGATCCAGGTTCTTCTATCAATCTAATGAGAAGAGACCTTTTGGTCAAATATAAATGGAAAAGTTATCCATCAGAGACCACAATAACAACGATTGACAAAAGTCACGTCCAAGCTACTGAGAATATTGAGGTGGAACTTCAGGTTGACGATCAACAGATAATGATGACGGCGACAATATTGAGGGAGATCCCATTCGAACTGTTAATAGGAAAGCCCACCATGAGGGATCTCGGAATTCAATGGAACTTTGGGACTGATGAGATTAAGTGCTTGTCTTTGAGGTCAAAAGAAGTTATTTTTACCAGTGATGACCTGATCACTATATTCCCCAAGCTTTGCAATGTCTCCAAAAAGGAATTACCATTGCACGAGATCGACTTTCTATTGAAGCCCAATAATAACAACGTGGCGTGCAAACCTTATCCTTTGACGGATCACAAGAGAGCATGGACTGCTGGAAAAACCAAGGAGATGCTAGATGAGGGCATTATTACTCCTTCTACTTCTGAGTACGCTTCACCTTGTTTCTAGTTTCTAAAAAAGACTCGTCCTACCGACTCTGTATTGACTATCGACAGTTGAATAAAGAGACCCTTTTTGACTCTTTTCCTAGAATCGACTCAATCATTAATAAATTTGGGGGTTGTCGATACTTTACAAAAATTGATTTGAAGGATGGGTTTTGGCAAGTCGGTCTAACTAAAGCCACGAGAAAGTTTTCTGCTTATGTAACACCTGATGGACTTTATGAGTTTAAGAGACTACCGTTTGGGTGGAAAAATTCACCTCCTAGATTTCAAAGGGTTATTAGCGAGATGTTGGCTGATTTATTGGAACTCAGAGTGGTTGTTTACATTGACGACATTTGTTGTGGCGCCCCAACCCTTGAAGAATGTGCTTCCCTCACTTACAAAGTTCTCAATAGACTGAATTAATATAATATGACAGTGAACTTGGGCAAGTGCCAAATTTGTGTATCTGAGGTGGTACTTTTAGGTAGAATTATCAACGTTAACTCGAAGCAAATGAAGGAGGAAGTAGTCGAAAAGGCCAAACTCATGAAACGCCCATATAACCTTGAGTCACTACAATTTTTTTACTTTATTTACAGGTCATTTTCGGGCCTATATACCAAACTATGCCAAGATAGTTCGACTGTTGGACAACCTGAAGAAAAAAGATTCTAGTTTTATGTGGTCTGATGAATGTGAAGAGGCCTATTTAAAACTTATTGATATCATCACGTCAAAACTAATATTGGCAATCCCAGATGAGTCATTGCCTTATGAAATGTCAACTAATGCTTCATATTATGGAACCAGAGAGACGTGAATAAAAGGAGGTCACTTCAACTCGGAGTGATTAGTTATCATTCCTATACATTTTCCAAGGCTGAACAAATTTATTCCATCACTGAAAAAGAATGCCTTGCTGTGTTTAAGGCTGTCAAACACTTCAGATGGTATTTGGAAGGTAAGTCTTTTGTTGTCCACACGGATCATAGCGCATTAACACAGCTACTTTCCTGTAGCCATCTCCGGGATCGACTTGCGAGGTGGCAGCTGCTTCTGAGCTCATTCGAAATGAGAGTGAACCATCGTTCTGGAAGGGAGCTCAGCGATGCAGACGCGCTGTCTAGATTGGCTGTAGAAAAACCTAATTCCAGCGATCAAACCGTACTATTTGTTAAACATCAGAGTATTCCTTTAAAATTAGAAGATCACAGAAATATTTTGTCCCTCAAGAACATCGAATTTCGATTTTATCTATGTACCATGATGATCCCTTATCAGGAGGACATTCGGGGTTTTGGAGGACATATTATAAAATGTAGCAACGCTTTGTTTGGCCTGGTATGAAGAATGACATAAGGAAATATGTATCTTCTTGTCCTATCTGTCAAAGGGTCAAGTTCAAGTATAAGAGCAGTCCTTCAAAGGTGAGTTTGCCCCATCAATCAAGGGTACCTTTCTATACTGTACATGTAGATTTCGCCGAGGTTCCTTCTAACATCAAGGATAAGAATTCAACATTTTTACTAATTATTGACGAGGCTACTAGGGTGGTTCAAGCAAAGGCAATGAAACAACATGGCCGTGCTCTAATAAAATATTTCAACGAGCATGAGGATCTGAAATCAGTGAGAACTATAGTTTCTGATCAAGGGAGATCATTTTGTATGGAGAATTCCCTAGGTGGGCAACCTCCAAAGACATCCGATTAATAACTACTTCTCCTTATCACCCTGCAGGAAATGGTTTAGCGAAACGAGCTATACGAGATATAAAGACCTTTCTCTCGTGCTATCCTCACTTCAAGGGTGGATGAAAAATGCCTTAGAAGCGGCAGTACGCTACCATAATAGATCCTACAACTCCTACCTGGGTTGCTCCCCTTTATTCAAACTTACAAAAACTTCCCCTGTTTTACCTGCCGAAAAGTACTTAATCTTCACTGTCCCCTTTATGAAGCAGAAAAAAAGTCAAATTGAGCAAAACCTCTACTGACAAAGAACAAAGTTTTATTTTAACAGTCGTAAAATGGCCCTGCCACCAGAGATGAGTATCGAAGATTATATTCTGGTAAGACATCAGAAGGTTGGAAAGGAATGGAAGCTATCTGGTCCGCATCGAGTGACAAGGGTAACCAAAATGGATGGCCACCCCAAATATGTTGAATATGAGTCTGATGATAAAACTCCAAGAACGCTCACATCTCCAATATCCAACCTTATCTGCATCGACATCCCAGGAGGGATGAAGTCGCTTGAAGTCGAGAAGTTGTAATATACCTTATAATAATATTATAATATACTCTGTTTAATTAATTTATTTTGATTGTTTAGATTTGGCAGCACTGTAATTATTGTTGTTGTTATGAATATATTAAAAAGTGTATGTTTGACATTAGAAAGATATATAATTAAAATTTGTTTCTGAATTTGGTAAAGCATATTTATTTATTTAATAGAAGAGAGAGAGAGAGAGAGAGAGAGAACCCGCAACAACTTTAATATACGCTATTGGAGCTAGAGTTACCGCGGCTGCTGGCACTAGACTTGCCCTCCAATAGATCCTCGTTAAAAGGTTTAGAGTGTACTCATTCCAATTACGGAGCCTCGTTAGAGTCCCGTATTGTTATTTTTCGTCACTACCTCCCCGTGCCGGGAGTGGGTAATTTGCGCGCCTGCTGCCTTCCTTGGATGTGGTAGCCGTTTCTCAGGCTCCCTCTCCGGAATCGAACCCTGATTCCCCGTTACCCGTAACAACCATGGTAGGCGCATAACCTACCATCGAAAGTTGATAAGGCAGACACTTGAAAGATGCGTCGCCAGTGCTAGGACTGTGCGATCCGCCATAGTTATTCAGAGTCACCACGACTATCGGAGTTGCCCCCGTTTGGTCTTGGTCTAATAAAAGCACCCTCACCCTAAAAGGGACGAGGGCTCAATTGCATGAATTAGCTCTAGAATTACCACAGTTATCCAAGTAAATGTGTACGATCTAAGGAACCATAACTGATTTAATGAGCCATTCGCGGTTTCGCCTTGCTAGGGCGTGTACTTAGACATGCATGGCTTAATCTTTGAGACAAGCATATGACTACTGGCAGGATCAACCAGGTATCCTTCGCCAGTCCCCGCCGCGAGACGCCCTCGGGCCGCCTCGCCGGGACCACGCTTAGGGACGCAGCGCCCGCCTCTCCGTGGCGGCCACCGCATCCTTGACCCCCTCCGCCGGAAAGCCCGACACCCACTGGTCCGGGCACTTTCCACGCATCCGTCCAGACGCGAGTCCAGCCGGTACGCCTCCCGCGACCGCGCTGTAAAATAACCGCTTTCTACAGGTTAATAATCGCTCGGTAAGCCAACGAGGAACGCCATTGGTAATGCCAAAGGGTGCGCACAACGATGGGGCCACGTACGCTCCAGTACGCGTCCCCGCACGCTACCTAGAGAGAGAGAGAAACATAACAATAAAATTTATCTTTAAAAAATTCACAAAAATAAAAGATTAAAAAATATTCAATAAAAAAATATATAATTAATATTGTAGGATCTGGGTATCTTGTGGTCACCTTGGGAAAGGTTCAGGGCTCATGGTGGAGCTGGTGTTATGCCTGAAGATGGTGACTTCAACACCCACCATGGGCTTGTGGCTTGCCCATAGGCATGCTGGAGTCTGGCTTGGTACTGGTGGAGTCAAGTCAAGCACCATAGGTCAGAGGCTTGACTATAGGGAAGGGGCGTCTGATTCCATCTTGGACTCTGGCTTGGGTTCAAGTCAGCCACAATGGGGCATGTGGCTCGACCACCAGGAAGGGGTGTGTGAGTCCATCTCAGACCAGCTTGGTAGGGCCAGGTCATCCATCACAGGTCAGGTGGCTTGACCACAGGAAGGGGTGTCTGAGTCTATCTTGGACTCTGGATTGTTGTTGTCAAGGCCGAAGGTGGCCTCAGGCTCCATCGCTACACCTCAAAAACACTGAGGTTTGCGGTTTAGATGGACAAAGGTGGAATATGGTTAGGTTAGGTGGGGTTCTGGGTGATTTTGGTATACTATGGTCACGAGGGGTGTCCTAACAAATATACCCAGAGTGTCTCAATATTTTAAACATGAATATAGTGAAATCCTTCACTTGAGAATTTGTTCAGTAAATATATTTAGTGTGATTGAAAAGGTAATACACCTGAATATTTTCCCAGGCCATTTTGATATTTCAATTTCTTTGGAGGAGGGGAATGAAATGGTTTCCATTTACAGATCAAAGTGAAGACACTTGGACTAATCTTAGATGATACTTCGATTCAAAAATTGCCATTTTAAACACAGTTTAGGCCTTAATGTCTTAATCATCAGGAATGCATGCAGAATAGTTAGCAAGGACCTATGCTACCATAGAAGTTATGATTCAATCGTCTTAGATAGGCTCTTCAATTTGTGTAGTGTAGGTCTTCCTCAATATTATGGTAACTTTATTTTGGTAGTAAATCTTTAGAACGTAAAGCTTAATTTTTGTGTTAATAAAATTTTAAAAAGGAATCGTGAACACAATGATAAAGTAGCTGGGCTGTAAAAAAATAATGATCATTGGCTATATACACAGGGACATTTATTGTTTTTTAAGATCACACCTTTAGTTATATCAATCTTATTACTCTAATGTTGTTTTATTTTAATTACCAATTTTAATCAAAATTGATTTGAAGACTTGAAGCATTTGATGAATAAAATGAAGAGAAGCTTTTCTTGATATTTTTGCTTTAAATATTCAAACTATTTTTCTATGCAATATTTTTAATGCTATCTTAAATTTATATATATATATTTTTTTTTATTGAAAAAAATAATAATCCAAAATATAAGTGTGAAATAATCTCTAGATGGCGCATGTTTCTCCGGATATTCTGTATTTTATATTTACTTATATTTCCGGTTAGTTATTAAAATGGCTTCTAGACGTAGGAATCAGGAAGAAAAGAATTTAAGAACTTTACGTGAATTAGCTTCTTTACCAGCAAATAAACAGTGTTTCGATTGTAATCAACGAGGGCCTACTTATGTAAATGTCACTATAGGATCATTTGTGTGCACATCATGCAGCGGTTCGTTGTAAGTATTTTCGACACACCAAAATTTAAATGGGTTACTTTTATTAAAATCCTCTGTCATTTCTTTAGCAGACGGGTTATGTAAGCAACCAAAAATGAGATTAATACTTATCTATTAACATATGTGATTACAAAATGTGTTATAGACACTTGTCGAACACATCTGTCATATGTAAGGATAAAAATATTTCCTTATAAATAATAATTCACTCTTTAAAAACGCTATTAAATAGCGGCCGCCTAAACATATTTTAACAATGATTGTTTCAATAAGTAAATACCATTCAACATATTTTCTATGTAATCATACACAAAAAATGTGACCATTAATGCTTTGAAAATAAGCAATTGATCATTATATTACGAAAAATCTATAAGCACACACACACACAAGCAATACATATTATATATTCATATTTTAAAATATATCTATTTTTGCCTTATAAACTAGAAGGGCAGAAAATTATTGCCTTAATGCCATTTTATTTGACAAATACTTCCATCAACCAACCAGAAACAAGTTTTTACATTAGAGGGTGGTTGAGGGGATAGAGAGATAAAACACATACTTCTGACTTAATGCATCAAGGTATTTACTTTCATTTTTTATATATGATAAATATGATTTAAAAAATTTAAAAAATTCTAAATCTTTACACCCTACTTATATGTTTAACACATATATATTCAGCAGATTAATTTAAAAGGTTTACCAGATTGGAGACCAAAACCCATTTGAAACTAAGATTTTATTATCTAAGAGTTCTAAATACAAGTATGAAAACTAATATGAAATAAAGCCTCTAGTGAATTAAGACCAAATTAGATTAAGTCAATTTATCAATTTTTTAAATTTGATTTTCAGACAATAGTCCCTAAAGGTAGTAACATAAGAACTACAAGGTATTAAGACAAAATCTAAATAAATAGTGTGTGATGTTTCAGTAACAGCATTGTTACCATCAGACAAAAGTACTGAATCAAATTTCAGTCTATAGTCTGATGAGGGTAATATCACACACAATTTATTTGGATTTGGTATTATTAACTTGTAGTTCTAATCTATAATCCATATTGTGCCTCAATTATTAAACAAGAAGCTCAAAGGGAGCGATTTTTTTTTTTGGACATGTTAGCCTTCAGCAGAGTAGAGAAGCATATTGGCCATTTAAACTTATTTGCATATTGACCATTTAAACTTTATCCATATTGACCATTTAAACTTTATCCATATTGACCATTTAAACTTATTTGTATATTGGCCATTTAAACTTATTTGCATATTGGCCATTTAAACTTATTTGCATATTGGCCATTTAAACTTATATCCATATTGGCCATCTAAATCATTTTTCATATTGGCCATTTAACATATCCATATTGGCCATTTAAGCATACAGTAGAACCTCCATGAGAGGACACTTGTGCTAGTTAACACCTCTCTACAAAGGACAGTTTTCATTTCCAAAATTGCCATTTTTACTCATTTGCAACTCTCTGGTAAGAGGACACCTCTCATTAAAGGACACTTTGTCTCTGCAACTAGGTGTCCTTTACAGGGAGGTTCTACTGTATTTCCATATTCCATATAAGTTAATATATTGAGGTCCACATATAAAAGCTTATATACATATTGTCAATATAAACATATATATATATACAGTAGAACCTCCCTTTAGCGGACACCCCGCTAGAGGAAACCTCTCTATAAAGGACAGTTTTCATTTGCAAAATTACAATTTTTACTATTTAACAACGGTAAGAGGACACCTCTCCCTAAAGGACACTTTGGCTCAGCAATTAGGTGTCCTTTACAGGGAGGTTTTACTGTATTAGCAATTTATACTAATTTAAATAATAGCCATATAAGATTATACACTATATAACCTCACAAGGTAATAAGACCAAATAAATAAATAGTGTGGGTAATTACTATTTATTTGGATTTGGTCTTATTACCTTGTGTATGTAAATCTATAATCCAAATTGTGTGCCTTATCAGTATATAACCTTGTTAATTTGGAACCATAATGACTACTTACTTATTGAGACTCAAAAATCATCTAATTTGGTTAACTGCCCCGTAAATAAAGATATTCCTCCTCCATAATGACTATAATTCAGAACTTGTGATAATTTGACCATGTTTTCATATCCTGACCTCCACCCTATTAATTAACAAACATTGTTCTGACACAATGGTAATTCAACAACATTGATAATTGGAACAATTTGTTAACATCAAATTTTGACATTAGATAAGTTCCCATTTAAATACAATTTATTCCTAAAATACAATACTTTGGCACGGTGGGCACAACAGCCGTTGGTGTATGCACACCATGCTTAAAAGTGTTACAATGAGTACAAATATCAATGTCTCGCATATTTTTGTTTACCACTTGATGATTAGGCCTAACTTAAGTAGCTGTTAGTTACCGGTGTAAACAATAAGGTGCCTTGATGAGTAACATTCTGTTATTTGGAATAACATACAGAAGAGGAAAGACATACATGTCTTTAGAAGATTAATCTGCTAGAATGTACACTAAATAGGATTCTAGCTTAAAAGCAAACAGTCATAAAAGATTTCTTTAAAAGATAATGATTTTTTATAATAAAATTTTTAGCCTTTTCCTTATTTTCTAAATTTTCTGGTTGCAAAATAACTTGACTAGGTGCCGCTCAAAAAGAGCAACCTAGATTATAATATTTACAACATTGAATAATATATGTGAACGTTATTCACATATTAAAACAAAGTGTACAATTCGGGATTCGATCCCGGTTCATGGCTGTGGGGAATCGAGGGTTTTAACTACTCGTCCACCAACTTCTTTATTTTCTAAATTTATTCACTTTCTTCCCATTGAATTTATTTACCTAGATTAAAATAGTATTTGTAATTGTTCCAAAATGTATTATAAAGCCATTTTAACCATCACTAAAGTTAAGTATGAAACATCTTGAAAAATTAAATAGAACAAGTCCCAATGGTATCAATTCACATTAT